GCTCCTCCCGGCTCCCCCGCAGCCCGGCTCCCCGCTCCTCCCGGCTCCCCGCTCCTCCCGGCGAGCCGCAGGGGGCAACGCGGCGAGAGCCCCCGGGCCTTTCAGCCGGGCTCTGTGATTGATGCCGGCAACAGCCGCTCACAATAAACGCAAGTCTCCCTGTTGATTAATGACACCTAAATTCGCTGGACTTACGCGGTGAATTTATATCATTCTGTTATTAGGAGAGGGTAGGGTTTTTTCTTATTATTTTTTTTTCCTTCGTGGCAGGTAGAAGCGACCTAAGTCAGATTCCAGTGGGAAGCTTTTGCATATAAAAATAAATTAAGTTACTTCAATCTCGAAGTATGTGTAATATCATTTGTCAGTATCACTGGACACTATTATTCATTAGTGTGTCTGAAGTGCTATTATGCTACTACAATGTCCTGCATATCAGCTCAGGAATTGTTAAACTCTCCTGCAGTTTCCCCATTTGCAATAGCAGTCCGTGCTGGGCTGTGCCAACTACGTTTTGCAATTCCACGAATTCTTCCTGTAATGCTGCTGTAATTAATTCCTCCAGGACCCTGATTTTTATTAGAAGTGCCCGCCCGATGCATTTACAGCAGGAGATTTCCCTTTAACTTTCTTTCCCTTGACAGTTCATTTATAAGAGCCTCCCCCACAATATCCACTTTTTTCCCCTCCTTTGCTTTTTCATAAAGCAATACACTTATTCATCTTGTCACTCCCTCGCAGCCACTGTTTTCCATGCCGCCTTTGGGTGACAGTGTCCAAAACAGACGGCTCGGGAGCCAGCTCGGTGTCCGGCGCCGAGGTAAAGCCGCAGGTCCCCGCTGCCCTCCCCGGGGCCGCGCTTCGCTCCTTTCGCAGCCCGGACCCCAGCGGAGCCCGAGCTGCCTTCAGCCTTCGGAGGGAACCCGCGGCGGCTTTCGCCCCGGCAGAGCACACGGAGAAAGAGGGCGAGCTACGGGCTTTCTGCTAAATCCCGCTCTGTCGCAGCCGGTGCCTCTAGCTCGGGGCGGCCCCAGCACGGACCCGCAAGCCCTCGCCCCCCGCCTTGCCCTCCCGCTGCGGTTGCCGTGGGGCAGGAGCCGGGGGAATGAGTGCCGGGGGGAGCTGGAGCCCCACTTCAGCCCAGGCTCAGACCCCACCCCAGCCCGAGCTCGGAGCCCCCCCAAGCCCGGGCTCGGACCCCCACGCCAGCCCAGGCCTCCCCCGCCCCCAGGGGCCGAGCGGGGTCCGACTTGAGGTGCGGGGAGCGGATTCCCGCGGGATGCGCTGCGGTCTGTCGGCAGGCCCTGGGGGGGTTACGGCCCAGCACCGGGGGGCTGGGGGAGGGAGGAGCACCCCCACACCCCTCACACGGGATCTATGGGATCTCTGCAGCCAAGAGGAGAAAATTATTTTCTGTGGAGATGCTGAGCCCACGAACCTTCGATTTCTACATCTCGAAAAACCCAGGATTGCTCAAGAAGTGGCTAAATCGTAGGAAAGCGGCCCCGGGGCGGGGGGAGGTGGGCGAGCCCGGGGGCAGGAATGGCCACGCCGACCGCCGTTTGCCCGGGGGCCATTGGGCATCGACACAAGGTTAAACACCTCTCATCTGACGTGTGACAGAGAACAGGACATCCCTAACTCCTTTACGCCTCGCCATGGTTTATTATTGACAGTACCGTGAGATGATCTCACGGAATTAACAGCTCCTCTCAAAATCTCAGTTTCGGATGAGGTTTGAATGATGAGAAGGAAAGCGGGGTCTCGGGGGATGTGCCTGCACTGATTCCAATCTGAATCCTTGGCCCTCCAAACGGCCACAAAGAAGACACTAAAAATAACTTATTTTCATTACAGAGATGCTTTTAAAGAGAAACGAGAGGAAGGGGGAGGGGGAAAGAACATTTCTACAACGGGGATTAATGTAAGTTGGAGTGGAATAAAAGGAAGTCAACGCTGAGCAAAAAGGGAACTTAAAAGGAAACCAGTAGTAGATCATATAGAGTTTGTTTTGGCCTGCATTGCAGTATTGCCGAGTTCTTGACCTCTGCACAGAAAGAGCTATAATCTGAACCGAGACTCCTCCACTTTTAAAGTCTTTGTAAGTGTGACTCACAGTAAATTTTCAACATCGAGCATGTTTACTACATTAAACAGCGCGAGGTAGAAAAGTTCACATCACCATTTTAATGGACCCAGAAATGCTAGTCATCTAATGCACACTTGTAATCTGCCCGGGTTTGTCCTCCATGTCCTGCTATCACCAACAGGCGCAGAGGAGCGGGCTGCGCTATAAACACAAGAGCAAGTAGTTGCCGAGGCGAGAGATTTCAGAGAGAGATTTACTTCCAGGATAAGAATTACGATTTTTTAACCGTTTCTTTCAAGATTTCGCCTTCCCGACCGCTTTTGCCTTGGTATGGGAGAGAAAGAAAAGCTCTTCAGCCCTAGACCTGCCCGAGACCCCTCCGCACTGCCGAGGGTCTGGCAGCAGCCGGGCCGGGGGCTCTCCCGGCCTCAGGACCTGCCGCTCCCGCCCATTTCCCCAGCCGCTCCCGCACAGCCCCGACCC